ATCATCTCTTTATTCTGAACTCAGTTTGGATTCTGGCATCAGCACGGACAGGATGTATGTCTTTTTTCCATTTTTTTACTATTCAATATTAATACAAACAAAATTTTAATTCATGTTTTTGATTTTAAATACAGACCAACTTATAAGAAAGTCTTTGAAACAGTGAGAAGCGCGTCAAGAAGTACATCTTACCCAGTTGATGCAAATCAATTCCCACGAATAGGTTCAATGACAGTATCAACCTTATCCAGTGGTTCTGCTGGACTGCGAATGAGTTGTGGACAGATTAGACCTGTGGCATCAACATTTCCTAGCTTAGATTCCACTGGACATAGCGATTCAGAAGGTTCGCTGCTTACAGACTCTGAAGATTATCCGTGAGTTTATGTTTATTATATTTATATTAATATTTTTTAATATATATAACATTTTTTAATGAAAGTAAATTATGCTATATATATTTCATTAATAATCACGTTATTTATAATTATATTTTAATATTAATTTATGAAATATATAAGTTGATAAATATTTTTATACGTTTTTAGAGGACCTCAGCAAACAGGAGTACCAGGTGCTCCTGGTGCAGCAGATTTGGAGGCAGCTCTTCGTAGATTAACGCCTGCAGAAGTTCTTACGAGGCGCGCTTGTCTTAGCACTGGTACAGGATATACTTATGACTATGATGCAGGAGCTCATTCACCTTCCACCTTCGTACCTCTTGGTTGTAGAACTCCAGATAGTATTATGTCTACGGGAAGTAGCGGAAATATAAGTGGTTATGGTGGAAATGCTTGGAGAATACCTGAGAAATTACAGATAGTGAAACCTATTGAAGGTTCACAAACTTTGCATCATTGGACTCAGTTAGCCACACCTACGTTAGGTAATAATCTTTTATTTTTTATTTTATCAATTTAGTTCGTAGTTTTATATGTATATATATATGTAAATTACACTTTATCAAATATAACTATTTTTAAATATAAATAAAAAATCTGAACTTAAAAATCAAATTATAATTTTATTTTAAGGTGGTCTTTTAGAAGAACGACCAGGAGTAAAAACACGAGGAGGTCGTGGCCTGGAAGATTTAGGCCTAGTTACTTTTACTTTAAGCGACCTCGAAGAAGATGAAGAATACACTAATCCTGGAAAACTCTTTCAAGACACAGGTTCCGTTTATACATTTACCAATAGTACAGTTCTCCACCCTGATGATCATACAAGTGTCACTCCAAGTATTGTGGGTAGTAGAGTTGCAACTGCACCTAGTAGTGCTTTGAATTCTGGTATGAGCACTCCAAGAACGTTAAGTAGAAGGAATTCGACTTCAACATTTTCAACAACTCTTGGACTTGCAAAGATGTTGAATGAAAGAGGTATTTATTGTTTAAAATTGAAAATTCACTCTCTTTTTCATTTAATTTATAAAAATATTATATTCTTTGTCATAATCAAATTAATAATAAAAATAAATTAATCAATGTATTAAAATAGGTATAAAAGCTGTTACACCTTCTTCTGCATTAACTCCAAGTGGAGAAAGGAATTTTACACCTACTGCAACACCTTGTAATAGTCCTGATGCTAGTCCTCCAGAAAGTCGATCTGATTCACCAACTCCAGAAAGTGGACTTTCTTTAGGATTATTATCTAGTGGAGCTGAATTATTGAAGAGAACATTTGGTGGCGAGACTGAGGTATATTAAAATATTTATAAATGAAAAAATTTTATATTTTACTTTATTTTGATTATAGTTATATATAAAATAATGAAAAAATTAATTACTTACATTATAATGAATCTTTTTTTAAAATATTATTTTTTGGGAATGTTTTTCGTATATTCATTTTTAAAATTCTAATCTTATTCCTAAAAAATTATTATTTAAAAGTATTAATATACAAATAATATTAATTTATAAATTTAATTTATTTTAATATCATTTATATTTTGTTAACAGACAAAGAGAAAACGAACCGTATTATCTAGATCAGACAAAAAGGCTCTTACTAGTATTCGTTTAGTTGAAAAACTTGAAAGAATAGGCATTGACACCATAATGTCATCTACAACGATTGGTTCTTCTATATCTCCATTAGTGTTACAAGGTTCTTTATATACCAGACGTACTACCGAAAGTCCTATGGCTCAATTAACTTTCTTAAAAAGCTCCATGTCTTCAAGTGGAAGCCAAGAAAAACTTTCTCCTTCTTCCACGGCTAGTAATTCCTTGTCAACAAAACGAAAAATAATTGACAAGAAACAAGATGAATCTATGTCAAGCAGGGAATCAAATAGACAAAGAAGAACTGGTGCTAGAGCTATGAGACCTGATCTTGGACAAGTTACACCTGCGATTCCTGTTACGGTTACAAAAGAATCTCCTGCGCAATCCGCTTTGGGAACTATTAGCGCAATTCTTTTTGGACGAAAGGGTGGTTTACTTTGAAATCATTGTTTGTTGTGCATTAAGTAAATAACATTAAGAAAAATCAGATGAATTCTTAACAGAATATAAAAAAAATTGTCGGAGCGGTGATAAAATGGACAATTTACTTCGTTTCATTTGCATTAAATTTGTTTTATAAAAAAAAAAATATGATAAAAATTATAAATGAAATTTATATAAATTTTTCTATTTACATAACTATTTTCGGATATAATCAAGGTAAATAGAAATTTTTAATTTTAATTTAAGAAAAAAGGAAACGAAATAAAATACGGTATATATTTATCATAATGTTAATCATATGTAAAACTGTAAATAAATTAAATATGCTTTTATTTTATAAGTAATATTTTATAAAAAAGAAAATATTATATACATTTGTATTATAGAGATACAATATATTGTATCAAATTTGAAAGTCTGATTATAATCGATTAATTTTTTATTCTTTTTTAAAAATTATGATATTATATGAAAATATTAATTAATAATATTTACTTATTTACAGTTTTGTAAAATAATCAATGTGCAAATGGCGCATATATTTTAAAATGTTAATTTAACATTCCTACAATAGCTAATATCTTTTCTTTCTTTTTTTTTTTCTTTTTCTAAGTTTTATTTTTAATACTAGATTTCTGCATGGATGCAGAAAAATATTTAAAATATTATATTGTTTAAAATATAAATCTATATTTAAAAATTTTTTAAATCTTTAATTTAAAAATATTATATAAAACTAGTTTATCTTTTAAAATTCCAGTATTATAAAGTATCCAATTGTACAAATATGTTATTAAATGTACATTTATGTACATGTTATGTTTTTAAATGTACATTTTCTCAACGCTCCGACGTCTAAAAATTGAAAAAGAAATTTACAACTTATGTATTTTTTTTTTTTATGAAATAATCGTTTCACATTGATTGGATTATTTTTTAAATAATTTTAGGTAGTAATTCCGCAAAAAATATTGTATAGCATTATATAGTCGGAAAACAAAAAATCTTATAAATAATTATTTTGAATGTTTATTGGTGAAGATCAATTTATAGGCTTGTGTGCGCGCGCGCGAAAAATTAATTTAAAATCATTAATTTATATATAAACATATAAAAACCAAATGTGAATTATAGAAAGATCTATTATATGAATTAATTTTTATTGTATAGAAAATATATGGTGTAGTAATTAATATTTAAAAATGACTTAGAATTTGCAATCATGTGATATGAAGTGATACATCATTTAATATGATTTTTATCAGTAATTTTATCATTTTGTCTATGTTTCAAGTAACAAAGGAAATTTTATATGTAAAATTACTCTTTTTTTTTTATTTTTTTTTTTTGAATCTAATTTCATATTAATTAAAATATTAAAAAAAAAATCATTATTTTGATGCTTAATATTTAAAACTTGAAAAAAAATTGATTTGTATCAAATTTACATATTTACTTTATTAATATTCATTTATATTTTAATGTCCAAAATGTTCAAAAAGTAAGAAAGTTAACAAAAAAAGCAACATCAATAATGCACGTAAAAGCATATAAATGACTTCACATATAGAAAATCATGATAAAAATAAATTAATTTCTTTATTGATATTCTAATGATATAGGTTACAATGAAGAAATATAATTATTCTAAATATAAAAAAAAAAGAAAATCGCAGCGAATTTTATAAGTCGGAGCACAATTTTTAAAAACAGAATTTTTAGGGTGCTTTAAGTTGTATTAATTTCTTTTAATTATATTAGAAATTTATTATGTTTTAGATTAATTAATTAATTGTGTTACTATTGTTCGTCTTTTACAAAAGACTTAACATTTAGTATCGATAATTAAATAATTAGTCATTCCGTAATTGTCGATTAATTATTGATCAAAATGAAATATTCTATTTCTTTATATATTATTTATATAATAATAATAACTTGTAAATAATTAATAATGAATCGACGATTAATGACTGATTTATAGTTTTCGTCTGTATCGATGAAGGCGATAAAAAAAAATAATTTACTTCTTTAAAATTAAATTTGAGTAATTATTTACTTATGTAATTGAGCATTTTATTTGTTAAAGATAGATTGACCAATAATTAATCGATCAATTATTTTTGTAAATAGTAATCTGGATTTTCCTTTTGTTTCGTCTCTTTTTTTTAATCTGTTGCGGTTAAAAAAAATTGATTGCAATGTATTGAGTGAGTTTGATGATGAGATTCAATTTTATTAGTAAATGGACCTTTATCTTGTATCATAGAAAGGAATATTTAGAAAATGCAGTCTTGTACATAGAGAAATACTGATTAATAAATTAAATTGAAAAAAAAATCAAGATGTTTTGCAGTTTCTTTAAATTTTTTATTTATGTCAATATTATTGTTAAAAAATCATTTTTACGATGAATTTCTTAAATACATAATGCATAATTATTATTAAACTTCTATGATTTTTAAATCGTGTTTTTCTCTATTACTGATGTAACTTTTTTATTTATCGTTTTATCTTTATTTAGTGATATTTTTATTTTTCATTTTCATATATACAGCAAGATACAGGTCAATATTATATATGTACGTATTTATGTACTTATGAAGAAAAATAAAGCGAGGAACAGAGATAAGATAAAAATTAGAGATTAAGCGCCATCTTTAGAATGCAAATGAAACATAAGTATAGACAAAGAGAGCAAATAAAACAAGGAAGAGGAAAGGATAAAAATAAAATAAAAATATTGAAAATAGCTCTATCTCCAAAATGTCACAAATTGAACAAAAAAAGGATAGAAAATAATAGAAAAAGAATAGAAATAAAATAAAAGTTGATCGTCAATGTCATTTTGAGTAATTTTAAAAAAATGATTTTTTGAAGAGATTGTCTTTGAGAGATAATCTTTGATTGTCTTTTGTCAAAAGATGGCGTTGGTGATCAATTATTGCCTTATCTCTATCTTTTTTTTTTTACTATGTTCTATCCTTTCTTTTTGTGTTTAATTTACATCACTCTGAAGATGGCACTAATTTCAATATTTTCACTCTAACTCTGTCCTTTTTTTATTATTTGCTCTTCTTGTCTATATTTGTGTTTCACTTGAGACACTCAAGAGATGGCGCTGATTTCCCAATTTTTATTTTATCTTTATCTTTTTCTCATTATTATCTCTTTTTATACTTTTGGCTTATGATTACAGACAACATCGGATATCACTTGAATGTTTTCATCATTTCATGTTTTCTCTGTCAAAGCTATAATGTATATCTTTAATATCGTTAATATAAATTTATTGAAATAAAAAATGGAAACAATACGACCCTGTGGTTGTAAAGGAATAAGATCTTGCCTTTTATGTGAAACGGAATATAAGATTGTAAAACCCAATCTAAAGGCTTGTTTTGAGGTTAGATTATCTAAATATAGAATAAATTTTAATATTTTAGTTTTTTATTTAATACAAATTTTATATGTTTTATATGGAGATGTAATAAATTTTATTTAAACAAACAGTATATGTTTTATTGCTATTTGGTACATTGTAATATTTTAAATTTTTCTTTTATAATATTGATTATTGTAAATCATAACATTTCAGAAATGTTCTAGTTATGTATACTGTCCATATTGTGAGAAAGCATGGCCTGGTTGGAATTTTGATCTTTACAAAAATCATCCAAATCACCAAGGAACTGCTATAGAATTTCCTGGTGTTTATATAAAAGTATTCATTTATTCATTTTATTCATATATTACATATTATATCTTTTTTCTAATTTTAATTATTTAATTTTTTATTTATATTATTGTATAAATAATTTTGCTCTTCAAGTTAATTTATAATTATCAAGTTATAAAATAAAAATGATTATTAGAGAAAAGAAAAGAATCTTGTTACAAAAAAAATTTAATAAAAAATATTTTTTTCTTTATTTTAAAATAAAGAAAAAAATTTTTTATTTTAAAAATAGCATTAATAATAATTTCAATTTATTATATAATAAGTTTTTTATTATTATCTATTTTAAATATATATAATGCTTAAGAAGTAATTTTAATAATCATTTCTTTATATTTATTTTTTTATGAAGTTAGACTTTTTAACTCCTTGGGAAATTAACTCATTGATCAATATAATTGAAAAAATACCTTGGGAAGCTTCTCAAAGTGGAAGAAGGAAACAGGTATTACATAAAAATAATTTAAGAATATTTATTGTTACAAAAATTATTACATTCTTATATTTTGAAACATAAATAAAACATAAATAAAATTTTAATAAAAAAATTAAAGACAATTAATTCTAAAAATATTTTAAAATATTTAGAATTTTGGTCCAAAATGCAATTTCAAAAAGAGAAAACTTCAGTTGGGTTCCTTCAATGGTTTTCCAAAATCTACTCAATTTGTGCAACAAAAATTTTCTGAAATTCCTATACTTAATAATTTTCAAACAGTAGAACAATGTACTTTAGAGTATGACCCGGTACGAGGAGCTTCAATAGATCCACATATTGATGATTGCTGGATTTGGGGTGAAAGAATAGTTACTGTTAATGTCATGGGTGATTCAGTTTTAACAATGAGTTCTTATCACGGTCCCGATACAAAGTACAATTTAAAAAGTATTATAGAATATTCCTCAACAATTGAAGGTTTAAAATTTGATATAAAAAATAAAAATGAAAATGAAGATATTATTGTAAGACTCCCAATGCCAGAAGGATCTCTTATGGTTCTTTATGGTATTGCAAGGTAAATAAATTTTATATCTTTTAAAATGATATTCAAATATGTATTTATATTGTTAATAGTTATTTGGGATATTTATTTGTTATTTATATATCATTATATGAAATAATTATTTTGATTATAAATATATTTCGATTAATAACTTATAGTTTTATTTTATTAAATATTTACATAACAATTTAGTTATATTTAATTAAAACATTAATAATATATTTAATTAAACATATAAATATTATAAATATTTAAAAAATATTCTAAATATAATAAAATGAATAAAATAGAATGTAATAATTATGAATTTTATTTTATTATTTATACAAGTATTAAAGCTTCTTCTTCTTATTTTGTAGGTACAAATGGGAACATTGTGTTTTAAGAGAAGATATAAACTCTAGGCGAATTTGTTTAGCTTATCGTGAATTAACCCCCCCATATTTATTTAACTCAACAAATAATGAAATTGTTAAAGAACTCTTAAAGAGAGCTTCAGTTTTTTGATAAAATGTAATTAAATTTAAAAAAAACTTATTCCAATAAAATATATATTTAATTTACAAAATATTTAAATACACATTATATGTTACGTATTATAGAAATATATTAATTTTATATATATATATAATAATATATATTATCTACAATTATATTTTTATATAAACAATACAAATTTCTATATTTAAGAAAATATTAAATTTGAAATAACATAGAAATTAATTTTAATTAAAAAAAAAATATATAAAGGAAAGAAAAACAATTTTTGTACAAAATAAAAATATTTTTAAAGTTTTAAGAAATTGAAAAGTATTACTTTAAATAAAATTATTTCAATAAGAATTAATAAAAAATCCTAAAAATTTTTCACAGGATCAGAAGACATATAAACAACAGGAAAGGTAGTGAAAGGATCTGATTTTCCTAATGGTTGGTAACCATTAACTAAACTTTCCCTTAATTCCCATTTACGTCTCTCCCTTTCTGTTTTTTGTCTTCTTATTGCTTTGCCTAACATACAGGCAAACATTATTCCCGTTAACTGAAAATAAATAGTTAAATTAACTAAAATATATATTATTGAATTTTATATAATACTTTTTTCCTTTATCAAATATTAATTAACAATATTTTTATAATTAAAAAAATAATAAAAAAAATATATATATAAATACGAACCTGAATAAGAGCAATAGCTACAGCTCCAGTACCGATATAAAGTGCACTCCTATGAATAATGATTGAAAGATTTTGTATACATCCAGTCGTATAAAATTCAGAACATAAAATTCCTTTATCGTCGTAAATACATGTATTATTTTCTGATGGAATATTTGATTGACAAGATGGAGGAAATTTTTGTTCCTTCATAATTTCTTCCCAATCTTTATATCCATTGTATCCGCAACAATAAAGCTATTAAATAATATATTTTATGAGATAGCATATTAATAAGTATTATATATAGTATACATTTAAACATATCATTTAAAAATATTAAGTAATTTTGCTAAATGTTAGAATGATTAAAGAAATCTTTTCTATATTTAAAAATGTTTTTTTAAAAATTCGTAGTTTAACATTATATTATATTAAAAGTAAAACGTAAAACAAAGTAAACGTAAAATAATAAATTTAGTTTTTCTGTTTAAATAAATGATATTTGTTTAATATATATGTAAATGTAAATTTATATGTATATAAATGTATGTAGTGTATACGTATTATAATTCGTAAAATTTAATAAAATTTATTACTTTCGATTGTAGAAAATCGATAGCTTCTGTAGCTTCTACATTCTTTTCATATTGATGCATAGTAATGTTAATTTTCTCGGCAAGAAGATTCTTTATTCCATCTTGAAGAGCATAAGCTGCAATTGCAGCTGCTAATTCTAATACGAGAACGAACGAAAGTGATACTGCAAACTAGAAATATAATAAATTTTGATTATTTGCCAAACTATATATATATGTATATGTAAGTAATATTAAAATTAACGATTTATATAAAGAAAAAATATATTATATTAATATTTATTTGATATTAATCTATGTATATGTGTATAAATATAAAAAAGATAATTAAATATTTACCACAAGAACCATGCAAGTACTTTCTCTAAGAGCTCCACAACATCCTAGAAAAGCTATTATAAAAACGAATATTCCAACAACAATTAAAAGAGTTGCTGGAGAAAAATAGCTGGGATCCAGAAAATGAGAGAAATCTTCATAAACAGCATAAATTGTTGTTCCTACAGATATTATCATTACTCCCGTTAACTGTAAATAGATAATAAATTATAGATTATAATTTTATGAGAAAATTATACATAAAAAATATTAGAATGAAAAATTTTTATTTTTTTTTTTAAATATTCATGTTTTAAAAAAATGTTTATAGATAAAAAATTCATATTTGCAAATTATATAAGTGAAATATTAAATTATACATAAATTTAAACTGTATTAATAATTTATATATATAATTGAATATATATTTTTCAGAAATAAATTTCCTTATTTTTTTAATTAATAAAAAAATTAATATAATAATTTATATTATTGACATTATTATAATGTTTTTAACAATAATATTACTTTTTATGCTTAAACTTTTGAATCTTGAATATCATTTAAATGAATATACCCATATTAAACGATAGAGAACTCTTGTCAAGGGAATGAGCTTTTGGACATATGATGTAACTTATTCACTGTACATTTGCATCAATTACAATTTATTATAGTCAGATTTGTATTTTAAGTAATATACATTTTTTTATTAATGTAAAAGATTTTTAACATTTATCGTAATCGTATATGAAAGTTTTATATATAATGAAATATATAAAAATAAAATATTGAAATTATTATTTTTATAAAAATTTATTTTTAAAAATTTAAAAAAAAAGTTTAAAGAAATTATATGAAAAGTATTTTTTTTCTTCTATTATAGTTGATGCTAGAAATTTTATAAATTCTTTTTTTTTTCAATAATGTTCGATTTTGTAATTAATATATAAATATATAAAAGGCTATATGAAATAACAAAGAATTATAGAAAAATTAATACATTAAAAAATATTAGAATAACATTTATTTCATTTTAATAATTTGTATAATAGAATTTATAAAAAGCAATTTTTATTTTGTTCACTTAAATTTAATTTCAATATTATTATTCTTTTGAAAATAGACGGAAAATTTTAATAGATATCAAAAAATGAGTTAATATGTTAGATTTTATAAAATTTTATGGAGTAAAAAGATTTAAACTACCATATCGATTTATGGTTGATATTATTTTAAATTGAATCGAATTTAATAATTTTTTATATATAAGCTTCTTAAAGTTATAAAATTAAAATTTCTACTCCATAGAAGTTATATTTAAAGAATAATTCATTTCTAACGTAATCGATTTTTCAATTTTTTTTGAACAGGGTTATCGAACCCATATCACTTAAAAAAATATTTTTTTTTTCTGAATATAAAAATCTATTTTAGATAATAATAAAACATAGAAACTCTCTTATCATTATCAAGAGATTGTCTATCTGAAATGATAAGACAAGCTATTTATGTTTGCAAAATAAATCTTTCCAATTTTGATATCGATTGCAAAAAAAAACAAGAATTTCTATTTTTATTTCAAGAATTAGATGTTCCAATTCCTTGTAAATCAATTTTCACATATTTACGCAAAAAAATTTAATTTCAACTCATATATTGTCTCAACTTTTTTTCGATCAATAAAAAAAAATAAAAATTCTAATTCGAATTATACAGATATGTGTGTAACATTTTAAGATTTTAATTTTTTTTCAATTTATTGATCGGTCGGAATGTAATGATGAAAATGGGGGGAAAAAGAAAGAAGGGGGATGACATGGATAGTTCGCGACGTTGTAAAACTTGTGCATTAGAGTAATAATTCATCGGGGTCAACTTCACTCAGTCGATATCGATCCCTTTTGTTCGTTCGAACGATAGGGTAGAACTTTGATCCATGCTCGTATCCGAGGGTTGACCTAACTTGTTGAATCTCAGGGCCGAGTGTACGGTTATTCTTATTGCTTTTTCTTGGACACCACACGTTACAATCCTAGCCAACCTCGACACCATTTACCATCGTCCTCGTTTTTCCCTCGCGATTCGATTAATATTTGCCTACTTATTGTTCCTCTTATTATTCGCATTATTATGATTCAATTTTATAATACAATTTTTTAAATTTTCGATATGATATTGCCTTTCAATTTTGCTTTTATGTAAATATCAGTTATTGTCTCTAACTAATTTGTTTACTAATCGATTATTCGTAAATATTTTGGTTTATTTTGACGTTTCATTCGTTTTTCATATATTTCATAGATTTCAATAAATTCGATCAATTGTACAACGTTTAAAACTGTCTCATAGATACAGATCCGTCAAAGTCTGCCGTACTTTGATATCTGTATCGTATTATGCATGTATCATGTTACATACACACACACACACACATATATATATATGTATTTATCTATGTCGATAGAAAAATTGACATGAAATAATTAATGCAATATTGATCAAATTATAAATTATTGATATTATATATACATTCGATAGAAAATTGAAGATATAATGTGAATGAAATTAATTATCGATAATATAAGAAAATATTGAAAATTCAAAAGGATAATCGAATCGTTTGTTGAATGAACGAAATAAATATTAAACACGATACACGCATAATTCGCATAATTGGACAAATACGTATTTGTTTAATATAAGCAATAGAAAAATCAGCCTCATATGTATATAAACGCGACATAATGATCTTCGAAGGTCAGATGAAAAGTAGATGAAAGAATGTGGTTACAGACCACAAAGAGGGAGTTAACCGCGCAAAGCAGATACTTGATGCAACGTAGACCAACGTCGAGGTGTGTGGCAGCCATTTTGGTGTCTGAGAATCCTCTTTCACGCAGGTGCACTACGGAACTGAACGTGGAAACATCTAAACTCGATTCGATGTATCGTATTATCTACTGATAAAGCGGTATACGTACCAACGACACACGTAGCGCTGTTTGCTTACGTGTTTTTACAAGCATCTTTGTTTTTTCTTTTTTTTCTTCTCTCTTTCTTCTACTTCTCTTACTCAAATATTTATCTGTTCCTGTTTCTTCTTCTGTATGCAAAAAAACTCCTATTGTAATAGCTATATAATGATCGAGAAAACTTATTATTAAATTGTTCGAGTGAGGATTAATTCTAATGCGATTTCAAATATATTATGGTATACAATTACAAATGATAATGAGTAATCATTATTTTCATTATTAAATAAAATTTTTAATATTTTTCAAATAATATCATATTTGTAAAATCGTTTGTATAAATCGAAAAACTTAGTAATATAAATATAATAATATATATAATATATATTGTTATATTGATAACTGTTATACTTCAGATTAGATTATCAGAAAATTAATTATATTTTATCGTATTTAAAGAAAAAATAAATGTAAATAAATTAAGTAAAAGTTGAATGAAGTTGCATTGTTACTTATTTATGTAAAACTTAAAAGATGCTAAAATATTTTCTTGATAAATATATCTGATATATTAAAAAATGATTTTAAATAAAGGACATTTTAAAATAAAATGTATTTTCTCAAAAAAAAATATAAATATTTTATGAATAAATAAAATTACATAAATCTATATTATATTTAAGAATATAAATCTATTCTTCATAAATTTTACGAATTGGGAAGAAAAAAATTTTTTGGTATATAAATATAAATATATATGAATATAATGATAAGAAATAAGAAGGGATTAATCTATATATTGTATAAAATTTAGAACAAAAATTTATTTAATTTAAAATTACTTATAAATAAATAATACAGATATTGATCGCATACAATGATCTACATCATATGATATTTAGCAAAAAGATTGTGAAATACTCAACACTGGCACATCGACCGGTCACTACGCCCATGCGTGAAAACAGAATATGACTCATGCGTACTATGTATCGTGTGGGTAATTCAGCACACGTTCATTATTCATATGCTGAAAACTATTACGACCTGTGGCAGATTCTATTTCAAATCAAGGAAAGAATTCTTTTTCTTTGCTTAAAATAGAGTCATTTAATTCCAATTTTCTTTTAATCAAAATTATAAACGAATTTATCAAGATGGTATGTAAAAGAGCATTGATTAAAATGATAATTATTTCATTCATACAATGAAATGAATTAAATGAATAAATGATAATAGAAATACAATAAATTGAAAATTATTTACAATTTATAAAAAAAATGAGAATAATAAACATATATGTAATAATAAACATGTCGATTGTTTATTTGTTTATTATTCTTGTACTATGTTACATAAATCACAAAATATAATATTTTAATTTTATCGATTATTTTAATTTAATTTGACTTATATTTTAAAAATTAATAAAAATTATTCATAAGAAATAAGATTAAAATGAAAAAAATATTAATCACTCACTTTAATTCAAAACTGATTACTAAGTAGCTTTCGGATTAACGATTTTCAGGCAATTATTTTTCCGCGCGATAATTATGCAATCGGGATTTCACAAAACTTAACAAAACAATACTTAGAATAATGATTTATAAAATCGTTAATTTATGAAATCGTGAAATGAAAAATCATATTAAGAATACGGTTATTGTATGATAAAATACGATAAAATTATTAGTATAAAACTATTTTAATAATTTTAGAACACATAATCTAATCTAATTATATTTTATATTTTATGCAATATAATTTTAAGATACGTTGTATTATTGTATAAAACAAAAGATATAATTAGATTGTCATTAAAATATGTTTTATATATTATTATTATATTATTTCTTTTTTATTAAATATATCATTCAACTTCTAAACGTATAATTGTATAAATATTATTATACATAAGAAAAAAGAAAAAGAGAATAATAATAATATAAAAAAATTTGGTTTTTTAATAAACATGAAAAATTTTTGTTTTATATTTCTTTATTTCACTTAAATTTTATTGAATACATAATATTTTTTTTTTATTCAAATATAAATTACTTTATATTATATTATTTTTTATTGGAAGTATTATATATATATATATATATAGAGTATATATATCATTGAAAGATATTTTTTTTATTTTTAATAATATTGGAAAATATTTAGGATACAATTTAAATAATTCCGAAATAAAAACATAATCTAAAAAAAATTTAATTAATCAATATTTCTTCGTATTCATTCTCTTTATAAAAAAAACATATCTTCTTTCCATTGTACAATAAATAATGATTTATTATTTCATAGGAGCTTAAATAATCAAAGAATATATTATTATTATTATTAAAAAAAATAATAATTATGATAATAATATAATATCACTGTAAAGATTTATTATTATAAGTAATAAATGTTTGGTCTAAAAACTAGAATGTAAATTACATTCTATGAATGTAAATTTTATTTCTAAAATTATAAAAATAAGAACGCCTTTTTACAATAAGATTTATTTTACAATAAGATGGAATGATACGATACATATTTTACAAAAAGGAAAATATGTATCGTACCATTCCATTTTTAAATTTCTTTCTTATTAAATGCATATCATATATTGATCATCCTTATTTATTAAATTTATTAAGTTTTAATTTAATTTTTTCGATGTTCAAAATTATTAAATTTAATTATAACATTTATTATAATAAATGTAATTAAAAAATAAATTATTCGAATCATTGTATCTTAAATATTTTCCACTATCGTTTAAAATAAAAAAAGAATTTAAATATTTATTATTTATATATACATTGTAACATAATATTTATTAATTTTATTTAATTGTTTCTTGATTTTATAGTTTTGAAAATAAAATATATTACTATTATAATAAAAATTTTTGATTTAAAATGAAATCATAATTATAATAATATTTTTGTTTACAATTAACTTTTAATTTAAAATATCATATGTAAAGATTTTCAAATCCTTGAAAAATGTTATACAGTTTCATAACTATTTCTAATCGATCGCGCTAAGAAAATTGAAAACCAGATTCCTATTGCCTGAAATGAATAACAATTTAATTGTTATTAATAATTAAAATAATAGATTTTTTTCATATATGAATATTTTTTACTAAGTTTATATTGGAAAAATTATATAATTCTTGTTTCTTTATATTATTAAAATTTATATTTAATTTCTAATTATTTGTTATGTTTTATTTTTAGTTTATATGTATATTAATTACCTGAACGAAAGCAATTCCAATGGCAACGCCACCAAGTTGCAGAGCGTGAGAATTAATAAAAGAAACAAACTCAGAATAACAACCTTGAGAATGCAATGTTAAAGATCCAAGAGTACAATTTACCGATCCTACAGCCCCCATTTCAATATTACAACATGAGAGCGGAAGTGCAGATATAGTATTCATCCAATCGCTTGCATTTTTTGTTCCACAACAATTAAACTAGAATAAATAACATTTCTATGATAATTTAATTTTATATTAATTTTATATATCTATAATTTCATTTTAATTTCTAGATATTTAAAAATTAAATTTACCAAATTTATTTATTATTTAAATTCAGAAATAATTAATATATTATATAATATATCAATTATATAATATAAATAGTATAAATAAATAAATAAAAAACTTATCAAAAATAAAAAGAAAAAAATATTTTACATCTTGCTGAAGTTTATCCCAAACATATGCTATTTCTTTATTATCAGTATACATCTTCATTGTATCTTTCATTTTATTTTGAATAATCGACGATGCTCTAGCTCTCAAAACATATCCTGATATACCACCTGAGAGTTCCAAAATAAAAACGATGATCAACAACGATGTAAACTAGAATTAAGAAATTAAGTAAGTTGAAAATTATACAAATATTTATATTTTATAATATATATATAATGTTATTTCACTATAATATAAGTGAAAAAAAGTATTAAATTAATTTGATTTGATTAATAAAATATTTTATTAATCAATTTTGTATAACAAGAAGAAAAAAACATTGATAATATATTTATGTAAAATAACAATATACATTGAAATAAAAACATAATAGTTCTTATTTGATTCTACTATTTGATTTTGATTACAATGAAATGATTCATTGTAATTTTATTCATGATTTATTATATTTTGTTGAAACTATAATGGAAATTTTATAAAGTAATAAATAATATTACCAAATATTTTTATATTATTAATATTATAAATACCGTAATTATCATGCAATAATTCTCGCGTACAGCACCACAACATCCGAAAAAGGCAATAAAAAAAATAATTGCACCGATTGCAATCAATAAAGAAGGAACTGATAAAAATTTATTATCCAAGAAATGTTGGTAATTATGATAAACTCCATGAATCACAATTCCAATGGATAATAAAATTATACCGGTGATCTGAAAATAATATTTTATATATAATATTTTTTTATCTCGAATTAATTACAACTTAAATTTGAAAAAATATAATAATAATATAGTAATAATATTTTAATTCATTATAAAATCAGTAATTTTTTCTAAAATACTTTAATCTTTAATAAATTCCCAGTTCCTTTTTATCATTATTTATCAAAAATATAATAAATATACGAAAATAATATAATCGATTAAATATAATCGATAAATTAATTAAAATTAAATATTTATTATAACTTAAAAAATAAAACAATTAATCTCTAATTAAATTCTATTTAATCATTTTCATAAAAATATAAATTTGCATAAATATTTGCAATCTAATTATTTATTGCACGCGATTCAGCAATTCGATTTAAGCATTTATTGAATCAATTATTTAGATCTATTTACATTGTAAATTGAATCAATAGAAAATCAAATTAAAAGTTCTATTATATCCAATTACTCACTGAGAAGAGAAACAAGGCTAATATGAAGCCATGATTTAAAAAAATGAGAACGACTTTTATAAATTGCAGATATTTACAAATTTTTTTCAATTATATACATATATTAAATATTTTTCCTAAAATATATTATGATTATATTATTATATTATAGTATTATATTATGATTTTTTACATTTTTATATTTTTTACATTACAAATTACTTAATATATATATGACAATTATTTTGTTTAAATAACAATTATTATATTAAAAATAATTAAAAATAGTCACAAAATAAAATATTAATAACTATAAATTATTTTATAAAATTATATTACAAAAGCAAATAAACGTTAGATTAATTTTTTTGTTCAAATACAACTAATTGATATCAATTTTTTAATGTATAAATTTCATTTTTTTAGTATTGAAAGAAATTGATCAGAAAAAATCATATACAAAATATAAAATTAAAATATTTACTTTTTCAATATATATACAATTCTTATTCTTATACAATAAACCTCGATTTTAAATGCTGCGGTGTCCGAGCGGTTAAGGAGATGGACTTGAAATCCATTGGGTTCTACCCGCGCAGGTTCGAATCCTGTCCGCAGCGGAATATTTTTTTTATTTTCATAAGAAAGCAATTTTTAGAATTTTTAATCAAACAAACTTAGGAAAGTTTTCATATTATTTTAAAGTAATTTTATCATAACATATTTAAATTTTATAAATAATTTATTATAATCAATGAATATATTAAAAACTTAATAATACTTTATTATAATTATTATTAAAGTTTATAATTTTATTCAAATTTTTATCATTTAAAACAAGAAATTTTAATGAATATTTAATGTTCTTATTTAATAAGAAAAAATTTTTTAAATATTCAAGTATATTTTTACTTTTATATATTGATATTGTTAGACGTTATATTAATTTTAAAAATTATTTAATTAAATCATTATTTAATTAAATCATATAATAAAGTTATTAAAAATAACAAAATATTATTATTATAAATATATTTTTATTATATATATTTAAGTATATTTGTATTTACATATTTATAGATATATTTTGTCCATTTCCAATTTTTTTTATAAAAATATAAAATATAATTTATAATAAAAGAACTAAAAATATTTCGTTAATTTTTACATATACATATTATAATTTCGTTACAACATTTATTTTGAAGAAATCAATCTATATATAATTTAAAAATAAAAGTTAAATTTAAGATAAATAAATCGTGAATGATACGCAATGTCACTATGACAAATATTTATAAACTATTAGTTTTATAATAAACTATTAGTTTTACATTTTTAAATAATAATTTAAATAATAATTATATTATAATATTTAGATTATTTCACTATGATACTGATTGGTAGTTTTTATAAAATCGATATTTATATCGATATTTAGGTTATACTTAGGTTAGTATGAAATTAATGTTTTGCGTTATTACAATAATTTATAAAAAGAATAACGTATATATAGGATTATCATATTAGTAAAATTTTTATAATTTAATAAATAAAAAGCGAATAAAATCATATAAAATTGTTTAATTATAACTTTTTGAATTGTGCTACACTTTTATTATGATTCATAATCAAATTAAAAGAATATTTCATTATTTATACAATATACGAAATGATTTATTATCTTTAAATTTTTCAAAAAATCAAATATGAAAATTAACATTAATAAATTTATTAGAGTATTTAAAATAACTAAGAGTTATTAATAAAAAAAATAAAAATTACTCACAACGAAGAATAGATTGAAGATGAACATCAGATATTTGACACATCGTGAACCAAGAGATAATTTCATAGCATTGACCATTTTTTCTTAGAATTAATATTTTTTTATTAATTATAATGATAACAATTTTTTCTTTTCTTATTTTATCAAGATTAAAAAAAAGCGCACAAACTTACTAACAACATTGCAACAATGATTCACTACTTTTAGACAGTTATCGCGTGGCTGCGTGTTCAAGCGCATGCGCAATTGTAATACTCTCAACCAAGGTTACGAAACTTCAAAGGTTACCAACCGCAAATTCTTTTTATAAATCTATATATTTTTTTATATAACTATTATATTAATACCTATTATTTATTATGATTAAAAGCATCTTATAAATAAAACTATTGTTGCTTAAATTATTCACAAAAACTGATTTAATAAATAAAAATTTTTATTTATTATATTATTATTTATTTATATTTATATGTATTTAACATTTCATATGTTTCATATTCAATTATATATTTTGAATTCAAATTTTATTATTAATTTAAAATATTAATACTTCACTATCAATATTTATTAATTAAAGATTCAGAATAATAAGAAATTGATGCGGTAAATTAAGATTATAATAATCAATACAATAATCAATATTATTTCAATTTTTTAAATCATATAATTTTATAAATATAACATCAAATTAGAATAACTAATAATCATAAGTTGCCATTTATATATTTATTATTTACTTAATTTTTTTCAAAATAGAATAATAATAGAAAGAATCAATGTTAAGAGATTTTAAAAATAGACTATTAGTTACATATATATGTAAAAATATTGAAAATTATATATATATATTAAAAAATTGTTAAAATTAATATAATGTAAAATATAAAAATATAATATAATAATTTTATTTATTTATTATTCATTCATTCGAAAATCAAACAATATAAAAAAATTTAAAGACTTTTACGATGTTTAAAGATATCTAGGAATATCCTAAAAATGTTATTAAATATTTTCTGAAATTAAATATATAAATATTAAATATTTTCTGAACGATTTATATTAAAGTAAAAAATCGAAATATTATAATTTAAAAATTTATAATTAGATATTTGGAAAATTTTAATAAAATATCTTTTTTACAAAATATTAATAATTAATAAAATGTTATACTTATTTCAGAAAATGTTATTTATAATATACATCTTATTATGATGTATATTTATATATACATTTTAAATATTATATATGTATATAAATGTATATACATTTTATTATATATTTATATATTTATATATATGTATATAAATGTACATATGATGAAAATTATTAACTGATAAGTTATTTTATTATTAGATTATCAAATTTTATTCTATTCTTTAAAAATTTTTTTAAAAATTATTATATAAATGTTATATTTATCTTTCGGACAAAAATTCTCATAAATAATTCTCTTATATAAATCTCATAATAAATTCTCTTATATAAATACAATATTTTTATTATTAATCTTGAAATAAAATTATTTTTTTTCTGGTTACAATCTACAATATATGCATATATTTATATACATATATTATTATATATATTTATATATATTTATATACATTTATTATATATATATATATTTTCTATTGAAAAATATTCTTATATAAAAAAGAAATATTATAAAAAAATTTTTTTTTTTATTAAAAATTCGATGTTATACAAATCATCACGAAAAAATATATATATATACACATATGCTATATTATAGATATATATGTATACACATATGAGAAAAAGAACAAAAGGAATGAGAGAAAAGACAAAAACAGAGAAAAAATACTGTTATCAATCAGGTATTATGAATAATAAAGAAAAAGTAAATCAATAATAAAATTTCATCTTTGCTTATTGTTGTATATTGATAAGATGTAAGTAAATGAAGTTCCATCGCATATGGAATGTCACATATTTTAAATAAATGTTATTAATATTATTTAATTCTCTAAAAAATATGAATTGAACGAAGAATAAAATAAAAGAACAATGAGAATCAAGAATCATAAAAATTTGTTAGTTACAAAATTATATCAATTATTAATTTATTTATTAAGGAAATAATTTTATTTATAAATAAAAAATAACATTTTATGTACATAAAATCAATATCAAATATATATACTTATATAATAAAATACCAATTCATTTGTTTTATTGCTTGCATATTATTGTGCAATATATTATTTGTATTATATTATATTATCAAACTATATATATATAAAGTTAAAATGCCTACAGAATATAATTTACATCTTGAATTTATAAAGTATTTTCTTTAAGTCATTAAAAATTTCAAATTTGATATTATTCCATAATAATAATATTATATATGAATTTAATATTAATAATATTTCATATTTACATAATTCAATATATGATCGATTAAAATTGAAATTAAATGTAATCAATATTTGATTTGTAAATATTTAATATTTTATTTATTTTAAAATACTATATATTATATTTTACATATGCTTCATATAATGATACTACATATTTATGATATAATTTTAATTAATACATAAAATTTTATATGCCTTAATATTTAGTTATAGTTATATTGTTTTAAAAATGCTAAAGAGATAAAATTAGAAATTTATAGGGCTCTATGAAAAATAGTCGGTTCTGAGAAAATTACCGGGAAGGTGCGCACGCATCCAAGTCAGCCAGGGTAAACTAATGAAAATATGATTATTCCTTGCTGAACTGTCGAACTGTTTAAATTGTGTGTAGGAATCAATTTAATTCTATAAAGGATACATACAATTTTACTGTCTATCTATATTAATATATACCATTTTTATACTTGAATTTGTTTTTCTCGAATAGTGAACAATAAAAAATGGTGTCTGGTGGAATGGCTTGCATTAAATACCTGACGTTTCTTTTCAACCTAATATTCGCAGTAAGTACTCCATGTTTTCCTTGCGACTTATATTTTCTTCCATAAGCTTTAATTGTATTTGATGTTCTTTTCTTAATATTAATTCTAATATTATTATTACAATTTTAAATAAATTAAAAAGAAATAAAATAACGATTTTAATTTTATTTGAAATTTGTTATAATGATAATAGAGAATAAAGAATAATTTAAAGTGATTATAATAGATAGTAGACATATAATACATACAATAATTGTCGTTGAACGAAAACTACTTTCGATTTATTTTTATATTTATTATTTACATTTAATTCCAAAGATATGCAGATTACATTTTATACAAATTATGCAAATTATTATTTGATTTTATTACGAAATTTAAATTTTTAATATTAATAATTTCAATATTGATATAAATACGATACATATTTATCTTAAAACGATAAAATAAAAAATAACTTAAAATTTTTGTCAAAATACAATTAATTTTTCATTTAAATTTGTATTTTTTAAATATATGAAATATATTTTATTATTTGTTTTAATTCAATTGTCAAAACATTAAATATTTTTTACTTGTATATATTTATATAATTTTAATATATGCAAAATAAGTTATTAGATTAAAGATTAGTTATTTTTATTATTATTTATTAATTTACATTATTGATTACATTATTATTAACTTAATGTTATTAAATTTGTGTTATAATATTTAATAATTATAGATAAGGAAAATAATTTATTAATACATTACAATAAAAATTAAATGTAACATTAAATAAATATATTTTAATAAATATTTGTTATTTTTTTTAATATCATTAGTCAAATTATGAGTGTTTTAATATTTCTTTAATATTGTTTTATTATAATTAATAATTAGTAATTATAATATTATTTTATTATTATATCAGTGAAAATAATTCTCAAATTGTTTTGATTACAGATAACTGGAATTGTATTTATTGCTGTTGGTACTGTGATCCTAATAGTTTACAGTGGCTATAATAATTTTATGGACAGCTGGTTCTTTGCAGCACCAATATTAATAATTATAGTAGGTGTTATTGTATTTATTGTGTCATTCTTTGGTTGTTGTGGTGCAGTCAAAGAAAATCATTGTATGATAATAACGGTAATGATCATTTATTATTTATGTAATAATTTTTTTTATATCAGAATGTTTTTTAATTACTTAATTATAATAAATATAAATTTTCAAGTGAAATTAAATTCATTTTGATTTAAAAGAATTTTTACTTTTAATAATAAAAAAAATAAAATAATATAATATAATAATATAAACTTTTGATGCAGTTTTCTGTGTTACTCCTCTTAATCTTTGCACTTGAACTCGGTGCTGGGATTGCTGGATATATGATGCGTGGAGATGTACATACAATGGTAGAAAATCGATTAAATACTACTATGAAAGAATATACAACCAATGATGATATTCATAGGTCTTGGGATATTATGCAACATGATGTAAGTATATATAGCTAAATTCATTTATCAATGAAATATAGAAAAAATAGATATATTGAAATATAATAATCTTATATTCAAAAATAATTATATATTTTATACATAATATTTTTATGAATTTACATTATTTGTATTTTCATAGAATTAATTTTTTAATAATTTTTCACATATTCTTAATAATAATAAAATTAATATTACTAGTATAAAATATTTATTAATATTAAAAAATATGTATATTAATTTAAAATATTTACAAAAAAATAATATTTATATATAATTAAATTAATATTTTAATTAAAAATTCATTATAATAAATTAGAAATTATTAGATAAATTAGAATTGATGGATTTAATTTTAATAAATATATACTTAAGATAAATTATTAAATTTTAGTTACAATGTTGTGGAATAATTGGTGCAATAGACTGGACTCATGTTGGATTCTCAGACAATATTGTACCAAATTCTTGCTGTAAAGAAGTACCAGAAGGAAATAAATGTGATTCAAATTCAATTCATATACATTCAAATGGTTGTATGAATAATCTTCAGTCTGCTATTGAGCATAATGCTTTGATTTTGGGTGGTGTAGGCATCGGTATTGCTGTTATTCAGGTAATTTTTGTTTATTCTGATTTGAAATATTTTCAAATATCATATAATTTTAAATTTGTATTACATATATAAAATAATTAAATATTTTTATTAAATTAAGATACTAAAGACATTCATGAAATAATAATCAAAATATAATGTTTTTTATTTTATATTATGTACAA